CTAGCGTATCTTGCCACCTTGAGCACTAGTGCATGAGCGTGACATCTTCCTTGTGACATCCACGTGGCATGCTTGTTCACAGCGGCACGTTGGGCACTTGAGCTACTTAACATTCACCCGCTTTCCCCACTTGAGCTTTCTTCTCAATCGACATACCGCGGCTCGTTGGAGTGAGATAAGATTTTGCTATTTCACGTAGCTTATTACATAGGCATCATGCTTTTTCGCTTCGACTGCATATGTTGAACGCACCCGACACGGCACAGCCTCGACTCATTACGGCACGACATCCCTGTCGCATTCAGAAACACGCAGATCTGACTATCTGACAAAAAAGCACAATAGTGGTGCGCTCCTCTCGAAACGAACAACAATCTTGATTGCAACTATTGATGCGTGCAGGAAAGGCGGTGAACCATTTTGCCGCAGCTGAGTAGGCCAAGTCCTCCAGATCACTTTGTGACAGGGCGCGATTTGGAGGTCCTACCAAGTGTGATACACAGCAGCGGGTGAAGATTCTGAGAAGTCACAAGTACGACTCGACACAAGTGAGAGAGTGTTCAGTAAACACGAAAACGAAAAACGGGTTCGACTTTCAGTACCTACATTCCTGAAGTCCAAGTCTGTACGCAATGGATCAGTACCTCGAAGCTGCTGCTTAAGCCCTAAAAGGAAGCATGGGTTCAAGTGGTGAAGTGGTGGACTAGCTTCTTCACAAAACTTTGGCAATCAGGTTTAAGGCCGCACACTATTTGCGCGCTCTTTCTGAGAAGTGTACAGGTGCAGCACTGTACAACATTTCTAAACCGCCGAAGACTCGCCCCGAAGCTTTGCAATGTCATCCTTGCACCTTTCCTCGTTCTTTTTGCACCATTCAGTTTCTTCGAGCACTTCAGCGGCCCCACTCCAGTCCTCTTTGTTGAGTTTTGCTATGAACTTCTCCTGCTCGCAGAGCCAGTCCTTGCCTTTTGCGAAGACGAGGTCGAGAAGAACGACCTGCAAGAAAAGCGGCTCACGAAAGTCAAGACCTCTTTTGAGTGCAAGCCCCGCACTTAAAAGCAAGGCGGCGTCCAACCGACTTTCGAAGGGAAATGCACTGCCAAGGACTGAAAGCACTGAAAGGACGACACAAGCGGTCTGCTGCACGAGGGAATGCAGGAGTGGGCGTCAGAATCGGAGAGAATCTCTCGATACTGTGCCGCAAACTCAGCATGCTGACTGGACAGTTCCGCGAAGGTAGACATAGACGGGTTGGAGTATTTATAGAAGTGTGACCACGAGAGTAAACGCATCAGGTCTGGCGTGACATCTCGGGATAGATGAAAACTCTAGCGAAAGTGCTTCTTGCAAACCTGAATGTCACAGGAGAAGTTGTCGAGAGCCCTGACGCACTCCGCTGCCTCGTCCAGGCCCCTCTTCACGCTTATCGTCAGCAGGGCCGTAATCTGGAGGTCGTTCAAGCACTCTTCTCCATGATAGACTGCACACGCGATTCAGCAATTGAAAAGACGACAACATAAAGCACAGTGCACAGTAACGTCTGTTGGAAACTTGATGCGTTCTCGCAACCATGGGTTGCCTCTGTGCCCACCCGTTCGCTTATATGGTAGCATCACGAGGCAGACTACAAGATGTCAAGGACACGTTGTTCACGCCGTCAGCATTCAGAACCTAGGCGTATATCAATAACAGCGTGGCGCTTAGGAAGACTTGAATGAAGGATGAAAGGGCCAGACTGCCAAATCCTATGGCTTTTGACATCCAGATCCAGTACCGGAAAACCAGATCACCGCTGAATCGCTTCCCCTGCAGAAGCTGATCTGGACCCAAATTTTCCATGACTGCGCTGCGAACAGAAGTGAATTGGACAGAATTCTCAGGACTTGATTTGTAAGAGAAAGACCTCTGTAGCTCGTCAGCTACCTAAGTCTAGAATTACTTGCCTTGCTCGTAGTCTGCGAACACTGCTGATAGCTCCGCCTTGCGGTCTGCCACGGGGCTCTGGTCTAAATCATATGCCACTCCGACAGCCCTGCAAAATAGGACGTATTCGAGAACAAGTATGTACCTTGAGTATCTGCACATCCTAGCACACCCTACCCACTTTATCTGGTCTGCCTTCAAGTTCTTCCGCCTGACGGTCCGAGAGGGGGCCAGAATAGGCGACATTCTTTTGTCCATTCGCGCTGCAGCTCATGCTGGACCACCACAGTGCAATTCGATTTCCAGAGCCTGCACTGATTGCTTGCATGTAGTTGCTTTCCTCTGTTTGAGACCGTATTTGAGGCAGGAACTTACTTCTCACCTGTAGTTCCCTGACGTTGCGTTATAGGCACAATGGTGTCTTCCTTCATGTTTTTCCATCCATGAAGCCCCTTTTGGAATGCACAGGTATCTAGGAGTGCCAATCACATGCAGATTGCTCCAGGAAAGGCGTGGCGCTCCTCCCTTGTGTTCCTTCTTAGTACTGCCCAGAAGGCGTCCAGAGCAAGAAGTAACTGCAGATGTCAGGACCGCAAGAAAGAGCGCTACATGGATCCAGCGCGGGATGGGAACCATGCTGACCGTCATGAATTCCTCTCGCGCTTATTGCTTGTCGTCAGAAATGGCGCAAAAGGAATGCTGCTTCCGGGGTGGTCACAAATATTGGCAGACGCGAGCTTGAGGGAGACGAACCTCTTCCTCCTCTGCTTTTCGGCTGTCAAACCTCAAAGTCTCCCCTAGCTTAAACCAGCAGCCAGCCGGCCCGCCGTCTCCTCGCCATGACTTGCCGCGTTTCAGCAGCAGTTGCTGACGTGTTATTCACATCCAAGCAGTTCATCTCTCTCCATCATAGGACTGACGAACGGTCCGACAGAGTGTGTATTTCCGAGTCGCTTGTTGGCGGAGGCTGTCTCGTCACTTTTAAGATTGAATCAGAGGTCACCAGTGAACCATTCCACCCTTGGATACTCGTCAAGATAGGCATGTTGCGTAGATGCTGCATGTATCGGTGACCTCCTAAGACTATCGTCCTCAAGACGTTCGAGCGTCAAGGTTGGCCCGCCCGGGCCCAAGGCAAGGGTCGAGCGCGCGGCGCGCGCTTCGCAGCCGAGGCGCGCGACCTTGCATTCCCACCCAACCCAGCCTGGGTCAGTGTACCGGGCACCCGGGCGTCAGCCCGTCAAGCATAGCCTATTCGCCATAAGGGCCGGGACCAGTCGTAAGGGCCCCGTTACCACTCTGGACCAGACCGTTCCCGGGTCACGACCGAACCGTACTCGGAGCCTGCATCATGGTCTCGAAAGCTGCCACTTCTAGTCTCCAGCATTGTCCAGCTGCCGACGTACATGCTGCAACTTGCCCGGGCACGAAGCTAAGTAGGATAGCGACTGACGCCAAGCGGAAAAGTCTTCTCAGGCATGGCCGAGTAAGTGACTGGCAGCCTTCCCTACTTGGCAGTTAAGTCTCCGGAGTTGCTTGAGCTTTTGGGGGCAAACAACATGCTTTGCTGTGCTCTGCTTCAGTTCAGGATACATGAACCGCAATCAAAGGGCAGAGGCATCGACCCGCTCTGCAGACCAGCCGGCCCAACCCCAGGAGCTGGAGCAGCTGCTTGTGTCAGGCGGTAGCGGCGAGCCGGATGGCGAGCAGGTCAGTGTCGAGTGCCCTCAGCAGCTTCTGAGTGAAGTTGAGGGCCTACACTGTCCGGATTCCAAGCGCCCCTCCCGCACATGTTGCCAGAGCTGGCCTCTTCCTCGTTTTATAGAATTTTATGCCTGCTAGTGGGTACGCTCAATTAGGTTTAAGCAGCTTTGGCAGGGCATGGTCGTCTGGTACGGTGTACCCACCAGCGGGCAATTCTTCATAAGATTCAAACACCGGACAGTGGGTATGCTCGATCAACTGGAAACAAACATTGCAGGGCATGATTGTGTACCCAGTGTCGGGAAATTCTTTCTTAGACACAAATGCCTGGCGGCGGGTACGCTCAATCAACTGTAATCGAACGTCGCAGGGCACGATTGTCTACCCAATGTTAAGGGATTTTCCCTTAGACACAAATGCCTGGCAGTGGGTACGCTCAATCAATAAGGAGATGAACAGGGCATGGTCGTACCTGCTGCAGCGTGTCCCCACTGCCTGGCAGACTCCAACTGCTGGCAAGTTGGTACGCTCTGTCAGTTGTAAGCGGATTGGGCGTGTCGCAGTGTGTACCAACAGCTGGGGATCCCTTTTTGTATCCGAATGCCCGGTACTGGGTACGCGTTGTCATCTGTAAGCAGCTGTTTTGAGTGGCGTGGCCGTCAGAATGTACCCACTGTCGGATGATTTTTTGTAGACTTCACTGCCTGGCGCTCGGTACGCCTCTGTATCGAATGATCTTACAGCTCGAGTTCCTACCAATGGGTGGTGTCGCTCGCTTTCTTCTGTCGATTCCAAGCAGATTGTTTGCCACCCAATCAATCGCTCCTCTATGTCTGCAGAGTGGTCTTCAATCAACGCTCTCAGAGTCTGCCGGCCCCTATCAACCACCGCCTTTGGACCAGCCGATGGGCGAGCAAAACCCGTCCGCACATGGTGCATCAGCTGACTCGCCGGTGGAGGGGCCCCTACCGGACAGTCTCGCTTTGCCGGTTCCACTCCATCCATCAGACATGCCCATTGCGGTGAGCTCTTTGAACGGCACTCACACATTCCTAGTTTTCATTCCTGTTGTGTGTAATATCACTGGCCGCATGTACCTTCCTGCAAAGTTTCCAATCGTTCGTCAGTGAATACGCTTTGTCATTTGTAAGCTAAACTGGGGGTTACGGCCGGTTCAAGGGTGTACCCACTGCCGGAGAACTGATTCTCAGACTCTAATTGCCCGCCAGTGGGTACGCTCTATCTTGCCTGGTATGGCCCGCGCCCCCTTCACACAGTGTACCCAGCCTTGACGAATTGTTTCTTACACTTGTTCCGCCCGTTAGCGGGTAAGCTCTATCTCGGGTGGTATGGCCGTCGACAGGGTCTTTTTGCAAGTGTACATAGCCCCGACGAATTAATCCTTAGAGTCTAATGCCCGCCAGTGGGTACGCTCTATCTAGCATGGTATGGCCGTCGCCCCATTCACGCAACGTACCCAGTCCTAGCGAAATGATTCTAGATTTCAATGCCCGCCAGTGGGTACGCTCTATCTTGCCTCATATGGCCGTCTCCCCTCCCCCCCGTTGTCACCCACCTCCTGCCATATTGCGCACGTGCAGGGCGGCACCGGACTCGGACTCGGACCCTCCCCGGCGCTTCCCACAGCTGACGCTCGCCCAATCTCGAAGCCCCCAATTTCGACGCCCGGCGCTCTGCCTTTAAATTCGGAGGTACGTCCAGCCACTTTTCACTTCTTTAGGGATCAGCGTGCACCAGTCACTCAAGGAATTTGGAACCCACCGCCGCCCATTCCTTTCGAAGCATCCTAATGCCCGCAAGTGGGTACGCTCTATGCTCGGGTGGTATGGCCGTCGTCCCTTTCACACGGCGTACCTAGTCCTGGCGAATTGATACATGAACTCCGATTCCTGCCATCGGGTACGCTCTATCTTGCCTGGTATGGCCGTCACCCCTCCAGGCTCCATTTTCCACTCACTGCCTCCCATTTGCGGCTCAGGCGCACGGTGGCACTGGACGGGCACCCTCCCCCGCGGTTTCCACAATTGACGCTCGTACAACTTCGGAGCAGCTCCAGCCCGTCGCTCTGCCTTCGGATCCGGAGGTACGTCTTGCCACTCATCATTTGGGATCCGTGTGCGCCAGTCAGATTAAAGGCCCGCTCTGCACCCATGGACGAACTGCGCGCGAGCGAGTGCTTGCGGTATGTGTGGCAGCAACTTCTGGAAAAACATCCTCTCAATTCTCGGTTCCGTGTGCGCGCGCTGACAGCGTCGAGCAATTGCGACATGTTGCCTCCCTCATGCCCACCCATTTTGGCTCGTGCACAGATCGATTCCGCGAGCAGAGTCACAGAAGCGGCCCGTCCGTCGCCCTCCACGGCTGATGCACCTCATTCGACGGAGGCAATGTTATCAGCTGCCCCACTGGAGCCGCTTCCACAGAGCTGGTGAGCTGTTCTGGCTCGAAATGGCTTGAAGCGTACCCACTGCCGCCTACTTTTCTTTAAGAATCTTAACGCCCGCCGATGGGTACGCCCTCTCTTGCCTGGTCTGGCCGTCCGCTTTCCCAACGGCGTACCCACTTCCGCCCACTTCTTTCCAAATAGCATGATGCCCGCCAGTGGGTAAACACTATTCTTAGGCAGATTGGCCATCTGCCTTTTCTGCACGGCGTACCCACTGCTATCTCATTGATTCTTGGAATCCGGTCGCCCGCCACTGGTAAGCTCCATCTCGTTTTTCGCTCTAAACTTGGGCCATCTCGTGCATGCATGCATAGGGCGGCTTTGCACCGATACCGCCCCAAGCGACCTCGGAGCCGCGGCAGCCCGCCACTCTTCTCAACCGGCAGTCGGATGTACAGGTACGCCTCCGCCATGCGTTGCCTTGAAGCTCCGCCTACATTGTATCCACCGCGGGCACTTGTTTTTCAGAAAACTAATGCCCGCCAACCGGTACGCTCTATCCTGGGCGGCATGGCCGTCCCCCGATTTGCCCGATGTGTTGCAGTCCTCATGTCGATCATGATTTCTCCTCAATCAGCCCTTGGCACCTCTCCTCCCGGCTGCTCTCTGACAGCGGCGCTTCTGAGTCACTGGTGGCCATCTCTGCAAACTTGCCCTTTTGCATTGAGCGTCTCCGTAAGTACTCATACAGTCCGTCTTGCGTGCAGCCGTCGTCATCTGTTGAGACGAGCACCGCCGGTCCAAGGAGCGCTGCAGGTTCGAAAAGGTCGTCGAGCTGGAGGAGCCCGCGCGTCAACGCCGGGTCTCGTGGGAAAATTTCCCTGATGGTGAGCGCACAGCATCTGTAGGGGCACTTTTCGTGCAGCTTCAACGGAAAGCGTATGCTTCTTGCATGGGTGCACAGCATGCTTGACTAGGAACCTTTCAATCAAAGCGGAACCTTCCTTCATTCTTTTCAAGGCGCTCTTGTTCTCGCAGCTCGACGACAAGCACATCCGCCTCGACGACCGCGATGTCTCCTCCAATCTCATGGGGGTCGGCGGACAGACCTTTAGCCCAGCAGACCTAGCATCCGATTCTGGCCAGGTGATCCTTGTCTCCTGTGATCCATTTTGAAGTGCTACGAATGCTGAATGAAGTAGAAAATTGCGTGTCGTCAAGTCGGACCCCTCTGAAAGACCGTGCTGATTGCTCGAAACATTGGACGATTTTCCAGTTTGCGATTCCTTTGGGACCTTCGACCGACTCATAGTAGGTGGGCTCTATCTTGGGCGACATAGCTCTCATCTTTCTGCACGTTGTACCCACTTGTGGCGTATTCTTTCTCGAATTCCCAATTGCCGCTAGTGGGTACGCACTATGTTTCGGTGGTACGGTCGGCTGCCCTGTATCCGCCCTGGGGCGGCATTGCCGCGCAATCTCTGCACGGCAAACCCAGTCGAGGACAATTGTTCCCAGAATAATAATGCCTCGAAGTGGGAACGCGCTATCCTCGGCGGCATGGCCGCCATCCCTTTCCTCCTGCACCCACCATCACTGCTCGTGCATGTTGTGCAGGCAGCACCTGCCGAGGCTCCGCCTGCAGCTGGCGCTCCCCCCTTTCGCCGCCTCCACGCATACATAAGGAACTACCTGTCACCCTTTTCATCACCATGTAAGATAAATGAAGATTATCGACAATGTAGGTTATGACCTACATACGTTGAAGCAGATATAGGTACATGCCTCTATTGGACAAAGACGGCAGGCCATGCCAGCCATATGATTACCATGAAACATGTGCATGCACGATCCGTGCTAATGGGCATCCAATTGAGAATAAGATTCGTCCCCTTTCGCCACAAATAAACTCCTGCTTGGTGGCTGCAAGTTCCAAAAGCAATTGGCTCTAGAAGAGCGTTGCATCATCACAATATCCCGGCTTGACACGACTCACTACGGACAGCAGCCAAACACGGGCTGCCAATAATAATGTCAGTTGCAATTCAGAGAAGCGTTATTCTTGCACTGCTGACGACCTTGCACCACTGACGATGTCAGGGCCAACGGTGCATGTTCTGACCGTTCGAAGCAGGATTTCTGACACCATGTAACCAGGCAGGGGGCAAACCACTTGATGACATCCAGTTCAGAGCAGCCGGTTATCCGATGGACCTAGTCCTGCGAAAACGAGACTCCACGGTCGCAGTTACAAGCCACCCACTGCTCGTCGAGTAGGGACGATGCACTTCTAGCTTTACTGCTCAGCATGTGGAGGAACTGGCGGCCTTGCTGTGACAAAACTAGGCCTGCATCGACAGCCAACTCCTTCAACACTTTTGCTAATTGAAACAAGTCGGAGGCTTCAACGTATTGACCATTAACCAGAGTGGCGTCCTCCCATGAGTCGAAGCGATCCAGCGGGGGAGGGTCCCCTACGTGAGCGACGGACTCCAGGTCGATAAGCATGTGCTTCAGGCGCGGGGAAGAGTCCTTGTAGGAACAGATATTGGGCTTGCGGAGATCCCGGTGGCAAATGGACGCGTTGTGGAGGACGACAAGCGCATGCAGGAGGTCATGCGCGATCTGGCGGATCTCCTGCAGAGTGTTTGAGATGAGTCAGCTTCAAGACGATTGTACTTAAAACACTCATCCAGTTTTGACTAGGACGGAAAGCCCGGAATTAGAGAGTTGTGCTTCTGACCTCATAAACTTGATCATGTCCGATGTGAGGTTTTGCGGAAGTAAAAACGGCAGACTGACCTCCGGCCTTCTTGGAGATTGTTCAAAAGCACTCCCATGACAAACATCGACACACTAGTAGCTTCTTTACGTTTGCTTAAGAATAGGCTCCTCAACGTACCAATCAGGAAGCAAGCTCCTAAGAGCAGCTCCTGAGGAGCTAGAGGCAAGCAGTCTACAGCACCGCGAACGAAACTTGCAGACACCTCACCTCCTCATTGTTTGCTTGCACCGGCATCCCAAGAGGCCGGGTGACGACGCGGTAAGTACCGGTAGCAGCATCCAAGAAAGGCCCCTTCACCGCGTGCACGATGTGCGTAGTCGTCTTTGCGGCATCGTAAGCTGCGGTCACGATCGCAAAGCTGGTAGCCGCCCTTTGGAGGTAGTCCGGCGCGTTGTAGATGACCTTGACGATGCTGCAAGCAGAAGAAAGGAGAAAGCAAGACGGACTAGGTTAAGATGAGACTGCAGGACACGGATCGAACCAAGATCAAGGACTCTAAAGCAAGCAATGTTTGCTGTGGCCACACGAGGAGACACTCGCTTGGGACCAGGATACCAGTGGAAAGCCACTCTTATCAAAGCATCTGCCACCTTCCCCCTTCCCGTCCTTCAAAAGTGCTCCAACTTTTGGCTTATCATTTCGCCATGTCTAAACAGAGAGACACGCCCTGAAAATCTTTGACGCCAAAGGCTCTCAGTTTGATGCTGTGATCAACCCTCCAGGAGCGCGTTGGCAGCTGGCACGCAAGGCATGCTAGTCGATTTTGCTGACAGACTGTTGCTGATCTGTTGTCATTTTCCGAAAGAAGCAACTTAAACTCTGGCTGGGATAAAGAGCTACGGACCTGTTGTGGGTCGGAGTCACGGTAGCTTGACCGTGTCGAGTCTTTTTCTTGAACATTTGAAGTCCACCGTGTTCCTTTGGCAGGTACTCTTTCAGCTTCAGGAGCAGCTTGTAGATGTTGACGACGACCAAGAGCAGCTTGGCGCGGCCGTGCTCGGTGCTGAAATCGATCTCGTCCAGAATCGGAACGAGCTGCAGCTGGAGTGGATAAGATTAGGTACAAGACAAGCAGATGGTGCTTCTCTAAGCAACAATGTCGTTTCCTGCTTTACAAATCTTCTCCTTCAAAGTTGTGCGGAAAGACTTGGAAAGTCTTTGACCCACCTGTTCCTGACTCCTGCCCCGTCTGCTCTTCTTTTGGCCTCCAAAACTTGCATCAATCCTTCCGCACTCAAGAGAGGCATTGGAACTGGTGGTCACCTTTGGAAGATTCCCTAGTTTTGAAAAACCTGAGGCTTTACCTTTGCCGATTGAGAAAGAGGCAAAGTTAGTTAACTTCGATTAAGGAGAACTAGATGAGGACATGAAGTACTCAGGTAGAATTAACAACCAGATTTAACCATCAAATACTACAATACTGCAGGCAGTGACCCCTGCCACACTCTCGGACTTTGTCCCAGCTTTGAGCCTCTTCAGTTGCATGCTTGGCGGCCACGAAAGAATCTGAGCCCTCGTCACCACTGGCAATCACCCCCTTTGCCAAACCTAAGCGGGTCTGGAGGCCCCGCGGCAGCACTTAAACAAGGGTGATGGAGTGCTACCAATGAACAGTCAGGTTCAGCTTTGATGGTTGGAGCACGATGATCACCTCCGCAGTCTGAGTCTTGATGGCAAACCACTGGACTCGCTTTCCGGCGGCGGCGTATGCTGGGATGTAGTCAAGCCGCCCGTAGTGGATGGACGAGAATGGCTCGTTAAATTTCTTCTTGACGTCCCTGAGCGCGCTGGCGAGCGGTTCGTCCTCTGGCTTCTCTTCCCCCGCGAGCAGAAGCGTATATGCTGCTGTCAGCGTCCCGTCAGGCCTTGTGCTCTCAATGTTGGGGACGCTCCACGTGTTCTTGGTCGTCGCGTTCTTATCGTAGACAAGGCCCAGCTGCAGGGGCGGCCTCATTCTGCGATCAATCTGGTACAGGACATCGAAGAGCAGCTTGGTGACAGCGTACGCCGTGAGCTCTTCGGTGCCAGAAGTGTGGATAATCTCCTCAATCCGGGTCGAAAACGTGGCGACGATATTCGCCTGCACAAACAAGGGGAAAGAAAAGCATTGAGTAGAAGTCTGCATGTACAGATCGACATGAGCGTGCAAATGTACACGATTATCAGTCAAAGGCGTCGGACATGTTCAACCCAGTGGACTCATCCAAGCTCTGTTGCAGACTGCAAGCTCTGCTCCACAAATCGATGGTAAAACCTGAAATCTTGAGCAATAAATCTGGATACTTTTATCCTTCCTGATCAGAAAAAGAAAAGGCGTTAGATGCCGTGACTTTTCCTCAATGGGAGTGCACTACACAGGTACACAACCTAGCAGAGGCTCTTCCTGATGCATTTTTTCGATGCAATTGAGGGGGACATCGAGGGCCTTTGGATACACAATCTGAAAGACCCCTCGAGAAAACCACAAAGAGGTGCTTTTCCAAAAGCCTTGCAAAAAGCCTTCCAAATCTAATTGGCACCAATTTGGCACATGCAGTAGCAGAAGCCCCGCTCCTGCACATCACAAGGACATCTTGGTAGCAAGGTGCACCGCCTTGACTTGGCAGTGCTTACCGTCTCCTGCTCTGTGCACACGCGGACATAGTCGGTCCCCCCGACATCACGATTCAGGGACTGGAACACCTGCAATGTCACCGGCACCTTCTCGAGCGTGCTGAGAAGGAACTGGCTCAAGTCCTCGATGGTCGGGGAAGTCGCTGGCAGGGTCCCGATCAGGCGTTCCAGAATCAGAATTGACATATCGGGGGCTACTGCAAGACGACGCACACTCTCTGTGAGAACTGCACCCTGCCCTGTGCTACCACTCCCCTAAATGCATCAGCCGCAAAGAATCGGCCTTAAGGCTGAATTTTCGGGAGAATAAAGATGTTCACAAGAAGCATCTGCACCATGAAGATCACGAGCCCCATCCTGCTCGGACAATCTGCATTAGAAAGCGCCTTTTGCAATCCTCACCTTCCCCAGAATGAATGCTTCTCTGGTGGCAAATTTAACAAGAAGGTTGAGGATTGAATCAGGAAGAAGAGGAGGGGAGAGCCCTTCCCTGCCAAACAGCAGCTTACAGAAAAGCCTTACCCTTCTGCTTCTTCGCCTCCGCCTCCTCCCTCAGCCGCTGCCTCTCGTCCTCGTCCCTCCGCCTCTTTGCCTCCGCATCTTCCTTCTGCCGCTGCCTCTCATCCTCCTTCCTTTGCCTCTCATCTGAGACCTTTGTTTTATACGCCCTAATGAGGGTGAGAAGCGGCACCGGAACATTCTGACAAGTAAGAAAGTCAACATCCGCCTCAGCAAGCGCAAGAGGTTCTGTCAGCAGATACTTGTCCAGGATCCCTATATACTCATCTGAAAGATTCTTCGCCGAGGGCAGGTGACCTTCTAGTCCCTTTCTCACTGCATCCAGATCTGAAGACATGGCTGAGCTGTCTCCGGGGGGGGCTTACTACAACACCTCAAAAGCGCTTAGGCAGTACAGTTGGGCAGCCGACTCGCACACCGCTGAAGACTGATCAACAAGTCTCCTTCATGTACACATCTCGTCTCCTTCCGACGTCCCTTATATCCGAATTTCGCGTCTCAAGTGCTCAGCATGGCGCCCTACTAGTATCTGCGTACCAAAAATGGCGCGTACCCACTGGCGGGCATTTGGAGTCTAACAAAAAGTAAACATCACTGGGTACACTATTGTGAGAGTGGGAGACCGACCATACCACTTGGAAAGGTAGGAGAGACTGAGAACACGCCAGGCCACTGAGCGCACGCTGCTGATCACTTGGCAGGTTTCAAAAATCAACCCAAGCTGATATGCTGTCCCCATGCTGTCAATGCTGGATTCACTCTCCACTAGGTAGTATATATAAGCTCATTGTGAGTGACTCCCGGGGTGACTCCTCAAGCTGCGCAACGTCTCACCTCACATGCAAGCCTCGTTATGGATCAAAAGGGTATGCTTGTGTCATTGCAGCTCGCCCACTGAAGATTGCCGGTGTTGCTAGAGCGCCCATTTTGTTATGCGGGGAAACCTTTGCCCTGAACTTCACCTCAGAGCCCCCGGAGTTGTGCGACTGTAGCAGTTGGGTGCATAGCTTATGGGTGTTAGGGCCGAACCGGGCACTTTCTGTGCATTTCAGCTGAATCACACATCGACGGCCCTCGGCTAAACCCTGCCCATCGGACGGCGTTGAGAGTTGGGTGGGATTTGAGCCTCGCGCCGCCCCCGGTTGGCGCGGCGCAGGGCGCGCCTGAGAGCCGCGGTCGCAACCTTCACGCGCGCGCTCCGAGTGCCGCCTAAACCCCACCAGGCAATGCACTGCGCTTATTCCAGATAAGACTTATTCTTTGTTATATCCTGACGCGACGAATCTTTGGATCCTGACCATCCTGCAGGCTCGAGGTAGTCTCTAGATCCAAAGAGGAAACACACAGACTGCACACAAATGTCAGGGCCAAAGTCCTCGGTCGAAGAAAGTAATGCGAGTGAGGAGACGTAAGGGAGACAGTCAGAGCGGGGTCAAGGAGAATCGGTAATTTCAGGACCGGGGCCGGGGACGCTGTTGGAAGCGGTGACGTGGCGAGGTTTAGGGTTTTGACCGGGGCCTTCCTATTCATGATTGGCCGAATGGAGCCTAGCCCAGGATTTTGCCACTAAACCTCGCCACGTCAGCCTTTCCAACAGCGTCCCCGGCCCCGGTCCTGAAATTACCGATTCTCCTTGACCCC